CCCCGTCCTGGTCTCGGCCGCCCCCTCCTGGTTGCGGGGTAAGGGCGGATGTCGGGTTTTTGCTCCAATGGGGCGCCATTGCTCCCCCCCTTCGCCGGCCATAGCGACCCATCCATTAAAGGTTTTGGGGAAACTAAGGGTGGTGAGGACGAAGTTTTTTTTAAACTAGCCATCTAATAATCTATTATAAAATCTTGCGAGGATTCTGACACACAATCTGGAAGAGAAGCAGATTTTGGCATGATTTCACATTAATATTTGACATCACAAAATAAACCACACATTGATTGTTCCTAATTAATTATTCTGTACATTTTACTTCATAACCTAGTTTCTCCTTACTATATCCTACCCTTGGTCCCTTCTGGATGTGTTTTGGACAGTAACTCCCAAGTGTTCTGATGTAGCTCTGCATCTGATTCATTTATCAAAAGATGTATCTACAGCTGTATAAAATATATGTGTTGTCTAATTTCTACATTTTCTTACAAATTTTTGGGGCTGTAAGTTTTTGTTTGTTTGTTTGTTTGTAAACTGTAATATATGTTACTGTTCTGAGTAGAAACCAGGTGATAGCACCTAGCTGATCTGGGCTAATCTTAAATGCTTAAATGGGGTCAGACCTGGTTACTACTTGGATGGAAGACTACCAGAAAATTCTAGGATTGTTGGCTAAACTTACAAGTAAAAAAGATCTGAGAAGGCAGCAGTGGCAAACCAAGAAAACTACTTGGATGTGTCAAGATACTCACTGGGAATCAATCAATTCAAAGGAGACTTCACTTTTTTACAGTTCTAAGATAATGCATTGTAATATGGATGGAAAAATTCTTGGAACAAAGGGCTGCATTACCACTATGGAAATTGGCTTGGGGGGGGGGTTTACATGTCAGTGTCCAATGCCCAAAATGTTTGGAACTGTTCTTTATCCAGTTCATACATTTCTCACATAAACATTTACACGCACATACATACCATTTCTCTCTCTCTCTTTCTCTTTCTCTCTCTCTCTCTCTCTCTCTCACACACACACACACACACACACACAAGCATATACAGTGGGGCAAAAACGTATTTAGTCAGCCACCAATTGTGCAAGTTCTAGACTTACAGAAAATGTTTGACCTCTGTCATTGCCAACAAAGGATATATAACAGAGTATTGAGACGAACTTTTGATATTGACCAAATACTTATTTTCCACCATGATTTGCAAATAAATTCTTTAAAAATCAGACAATGTGATTTTCTGGATTTTTTTTCTCATTTTGTCTCTCATAGTTGAGGTATACCTATGATGAAAATTACAGGCCTCTCTCAAGACTTACAGAAAATGTTTGACCTCTGTCATTGCCAACAAAGGATATATAACAGAGTATTGAGACGAACTTTTGATATTGACCAAATACTTATTTTCCACCATGATTTGCAAATAAATTCTTTAAAAATCAGACAATGTGATTTTCTGGATTTTTTTTCTCATTTTGTCTCTCATAGTTGAGGTATACCTATGATGAAAATTACAGGCCTCTCTCAAGACTTACAGAAAATGTTTGACCTCTGTCATTGCCAACAAAGGATATATAACAGAGTATTGAGACGAACTTTTGATATTGACCAAATACTTATTTTCCACCATGATTTGCAAATAAATTCTTTAAAAATCAGACAATGTGATTTTCTGGATTTTTTTTCTCATTTTGTCTCTCATAGTTGAGGTATACCTATGATGAAAATTACAGGCCTCTCTCAATTTTCCACCATGATTTGCAAATAAATTCTTTAAAAATCAGACAATGTGATTTTCTGGATTTTTTTTCTCATTTTGTCTCTCATAGTTGAGGTATACCTATGATGAAAATTACAGGCCTCTCTCAATTTTCCACCATGATTTGCAAATAAATTCTTTAAAAATCAGACAATGTGATTTTCTGGATTTTTTTTCTCATTTTGTCTCTCATAGTTGAGGTATACCTATGATGAAAATTACAGGCCTCTCTCATCTTTTTAAGTGGGAGAACTTGCACAATTGGTGGCTGACTAAATACTTTTTTGCCCCACTGTAAAACCACCACAGACACATGCAGAGATTTCTGCTTCTAGCACTGTGTCAGTGTACCACATTTTCTCATTGTCACCTTCTCACACACAACCATTTTTTAAAAATGTTTTGTTATGCAACCATCTCCCTGCCTAACCTGTTCCAAATCTATTTAGCATATCCTGCACCACACAGGGGGTTAAACTAGATGACTTCTGAGGGCCTTTCCAACTCTATGAACCTGTGATTCTATTAAAAAATCAATCAGCAACATTCTTTGAAACTGCAAGCCAAAGGAATAAGCAATAAAGAGCAAATATTCCCTCTAGGTATAGACAGGTATTAGATCATTGTTCTGCATTGTTCATCAGTGAAGTCTGGGATCCAAAATGTGGATCCCAGACTTCACTGGGATTGCATTCAGGCACAGTGTGTACTATTTGCCATTAATGGACATAGCCTTTTAATTTGGTCAAAGGCCTGCAGTTTTATCTCTGGGACAGCTAGAACTATCTATTTCCTTGACCTTATGTTGTAATATGAGAGCCAGTTTGGTGTAGTGGTTAAGGTATCAGGCCTTAACCACTACACTGGGAGACTGTGAGTTCTAGTCCTGCCTAGGCACAAAGCCAGCTTGGTGACCTTGGGCCAGTCATTTTCTCTCTACCCTAGGAAAGGAGACAGTGGCAAACCACTTCTGAAAAAAAACCTTGCCAAGATAACTGCAGGGACTTGTCCAGGCAATCTCTGAGAATTGCACATGATTGAATGGATTAAAAAAAAATGTAATTGCCCTGAGGCAGGGAGTGTCAATATTTTAGTATGATAGATGCCCAGGGGCTAGTTAGAAGCTTGTTTTACTTCGGGTGCCTCCTCTAGAGCAAGTGTCTTTATGTAACTAGGTGATTAATACTTAATGTGATTTGAGGCATAAGATGATTGAAAATATTGATGGGAATATTTTGTTTAATAGTTAATGCATTGAAAATTGTTAGGAGAAAGGGGATTGACCTCATGACTTACAGTGATGTATTATCTTCTATTTTTCTTCCTTCCAGCATGATGGACAGCCATATTGCCACAAACCATGCTATGGGATCCTGTTTGGACCAAAGGGTGAGTGTGATGGACAGAGATTAGTTTAAATATTGAAAAGGCAACTAGCTTGCTTATTATCACTTACCTTTTCTCTCACCTCATTTCATGTTGGCATTCAAATCTAGTCTTGTGCCTGACAACTCAGGTTTAGCAGGTGAGAGTAGTATTTAGAGCAGAGGAACACAACCTTGGTTGGGGTGAGGGCATTAGCTTTTGAAGTTTATGCTAGGAACAATGCTACAAAATAGTCAGGAAGAAATGGTAGGACATTTCAAAAAAGCAGGTGGGCCAGGACAAAAATCACATTAATTAAATGCAGATAATATTATTACTTTTGAATAATTTATTTCATTTAATTACCTAATTAATGTGAGCCATGCTCAGACATATACAAAAACACACAACACAGTTTTGGTGTAGTAATCCCCAACCTCTTGCAATTGATTCCCATATTTAAGCAATATGTGAGTGAAAAAAAAAAATCCCCAGCTTCCCCTTAGACACACACACCTATATTGATCCCTGCCATCTTAATATTTCCTAATCCTAAATGAAGTGAATTGCACATATTTTCTCTCATATATACCCTATCCTGAGCAAAAGTCCTTTCTTCTCCTGGCTTATGATCTATTTATAATCCTCTAATTTTGCAACTAACAAATACTATAGGGATTTGCAAACAGAGACACTGGTAGTGGTATGGGAAACCTTATCAATATTCCCCAGTGTTTTCATGAACTTGCATGTTTCAAGCAACTATATCAGCATATTTAACTACTCCCATGAGATTTTTCAGTTTCTCAAGATAACTGATCTCTGATGTAGTAGAGGATGCCCTGGTACTGAGAGGTCAGGAACAAAATGTTGCTGGGAGAGAAAGTAAACAAAGCAAGAGTAAGGAAGAATGAAGGGAGGGGAGGGGGCAGATGCTAAAGAAAGAAAAACTGAGTAAAGAGGGAATGCTAGATGTCAGAGCTATACAAAGAGTGAGATCATGTGAAAGGGGAAAGGATGAGAAGGGAGCAGCAAAATAAAAGCAGTAAAGGAATAATAATAGCCAGGAACAGTTTGCTGGGGGAAACAGTTCCAAAGAGAATCTGTGGGTGAATAAGTTTGTCATTTACAGTACCTGCTTGCCTTATGCTTCTTCCTCTGGAATACACTGCTGGGGTCCTTGGCTGCTTGCTACCAATACCTGTGGTTTCACCCAGAGTTAGGATTTTTTCTCCATCTCTCTATTCTCATTGGTCCATTACTAGCCTAAAAAACTGTCCCGGGCTATTCCTTACTGTGAAGTACCTCCTCCATTAAGATGTGAGCAGTTGTCATAATTCCTTATGATTGGATCTGCCTTGTTTTGATTTCAAATGCTGGAGGCAGAATATGGGGATAAAAGCATAGCAACCACTTGCCCAGTTGTTTTGAATTCTTTTCAGCTTGTGATCTTGAGAATGTCAATGGTGTGTCTGGAGATCTGATGGCTACCACCTGTTCATTCAACCTTTGCTCCTTCTGACTAATTAAATCAGTAGGACTTCACAGCCAAGAAAGGTTTGATTCACCAAAGAGGGGCATGATCTCACCTATATAAAGGAAACATCAAAAAGCCTGCTACTAAAGAAAAAATTACTTGACCCAGAAGAGATGGAAAATATAAGGCAAAATAAATGCATTTAAGTTACAGGAAGGCTTGAATATTAAGAGGGTTTTTCCTTAACAGTAGTGCAGTGTGATAATGGGAATCAGGTAGGTGGGCTTCCTTTCATTTGATGTGTTCAAGCAAAGGACAAATGAACATCAGTCTGAGATGCTTTAATTTGAATTCTTGCCTTGAGCAAGCAGTTGGACTCAGTGGCCTAAATTGTGCCTTCCAAATTGTGATTCAATGATTCTATGAAAATAATCAGTCTCCAATTACCCTTTCTAATGATCGAATAGGTGGTGGTTCACAATGCCATACATATCTGGAGGATACCTACCATCAAGATTTATTTTAATGAGGCATTTTGCTGGATGACCTAGAATGGGAATTGGAGGGGGAACTGGGTCAGTAGTTCTCCTGGCTTTAATACCATCCCAGTTGCCAGATGGAACTGGGCCTTAATGGAATTGCTCTACAGTGGTTCAGATTCTTTTTGCCTGATGCGTCCCAAAGGTGGTACTCGGGGCTACTGTTCAACTTCTAGGTGATTACACTGTTTGATTTTGTCTGTGATGCTATTTAATATCTACTGTACATGAGAAAGGTCACACCCAAAACTTTGGATTAAGGTACTAGAGGTATTTTTATTTATTTATATATATCAAATTTGTCACCACCCATCTCATAGAAACAACTCTGGGCAGTTTACAAACAACAACACAGAGACAGCAAAAGCAGGAAAGATGTTGGAGGAGATGGCAAAAAGAGACAAAGAATGGAAGTGCAAAGATGAAAAAGAAGGTAGTAGGAAAGCTGGAAACTAATGGGGAAACAGTCATAGTTTGCTGCTCACACTTGGGAAGGGGAAAGAAGACTTAATTTAGAATAAGAACACCAGAATTTTCAGAGAAGGGTGGGCCATAGAAAAGGGAAGAGTTATATGAAAAGAGATGTTGAAAGGTACAACTCACCTGAATAGTGCCTTAATTTCAAATTCAGCTATAGAGAAAATCCCATAAGCTTGTTTTCAGGGACTGTTATTGAAGGGTGAATTAACCTAATACTTATTTAATATGAGTTAACCTAATAGCCCTTCTAGCCTTCTGGAAGGATGTAAGTCCTGGCTCTTCACTCAGGCACTGGGGTAGAGTGATAGGAGCCTGTGGATGGTTGCTGGGGCATCCTGGGAGGACGACTGAGGCACCAGATTTTTAGTTTCTGTTTTTATCATTTTTGTAGTTTTATTGTAGTTGTGAGCTGCCCAGAGATGTGCTCTAAGATGGGCTGCCATACAGATCTTTTGAATGAATGCATGGACGGATGGATGGTTCACGCCCAAGTGATACAAGATTGATTGATTACTTTTACTTACTTATTTATTTAGTATGCTGCCCATCTCCCTTGGAGGGTGATAATTGTTAGTACTATTTTGTTATTGCTGTGCAGATTCATTGCTTGTCACTCTTCACTAGACAAGTTTCTTGTCTGAATCTGGCATATCAGATCTAAACAAGATATGATATTGGGCATATCAGGTGAAAACTGTTACAGACTCCCTGTACATGTAGTTTGAGTAATTTCACCATAAAAGAAATCATCTTGAATTACAATTTTATTTTGATGAAAAACTTCAAACTTTGATTGAAGTATAATTGAGGTATTATACTTCTATCTTAAAGCTTGAAAGCACATCATATGATAATTATGATAATAAATAAATATGATGAATGAAAGCATTTAGCTATGGCAAAGAGCATACAAATAAAAAAAGTATTAGTGGGATCCATAGGAACTTGCTGTTTTCATCAAAATGACAAAAGCAGTCATTTTTTTTTGTCATGTTTTTTTGCCATGAGCTCTGTCCTTTTGAGGAAAGTGTGCCACATCACACACAACACACATAGCAAAGGGGCAGAGCTTGTTGCAGGGCTGCTGACATGAATCTGATCCCACCCTGCAGACACTGCTGAAAAATACTGACACTTAGGAATAACAATTTGGACTTGCCCTGAAGTATTTAACTGGTACTTTTCTTGATCAAGATGTTAACCAACAACAGTGCCTTTTTTCTAGATGCTTCATTTCATTGCATTGCCTCTTTCTCTCAATCAAAATTGTGTGGTCTCTAAGTATGCGTAATTCTTACTGGATTGGATTGTTTTTCTCACCCACCATAGGCTTTCTTCAAAACATTTTGCATTTCCCAAACCCTGAGGTTCTCTGAATCTGCTGATACTTCTCTTATATGCTATATGAACATCCATTTTAAGATAATGAATTCACTGTTGGTTTTCAAATCATATAAATTAAAACTAATCCCCCAAATTGACTTGCACTTCCTCTTTTCCCTCCAGTCTCTTTAGTCCATAATCCTTCCTCCACTCACTCTTTTCTGTTTTCTTTTCTTTTGTAGGAGTGAACACAGGTGCAGTTGGAAGCTACATCTATGATAAAGAATCTGAAGCAAAAGACCAACCTTGAGAGCTTTTTCTAGCCAACTATCCATCTGCTCAGCCCATTTGCACTGCATTCTCTTGATTAATCTTGTGTGTATAGACATAGTGAAACCTGCTTAGAAGCAGGAGGATGAGGTGACTGTATATGTTCCATTGTCTGCTTCCCAGGCAAGAGATGGCATTCTGTTCCCTCTTCCATTTTCTAATGGCTATGCTTTAAAAGGACAAAGCTGCTTCTCCACCAAAGGTCTCATTTTTATTTCACTTCTTCAACTCTGTGTGTTCTGGGCAAATATCTTTACTGCCATTATTTTACATGACAGAACACAATTCAGTCATGTCCCCTGTGGCCTTCCTAGTCATCAGTAGTTCATTATTTTGAGGTCCAACTTGTCATTAGCTATTAATGACTTGGAGGAAGTATAAACAAATTTAGCAGGAAGGTGAAAAATTTTTCAGGTATAATTTTGAACAAGGCTACTAAACCTAGAATGGCGGCTGCTAGTTTGAGATCCAGATTCTTACCAGCTATGGATTGCTTCCCTATATGAAGTTTCATCACTGCTCAGAACTAGTCCTTGTGGAACCAGATGTCAGCAGCAAGCTGTTCCTAGCAGCTGACTTAGGGTCCAGTATGCTTAGCTAAAGCTAAAGTGTTGTCTTTTGAAAGCACAATTTGTATCCTTGAGGAATCTGTCAGAAATTACGATCCTACTAATATTATGCCAGACAGAATGTGGTCATAACTTGGGTGCAGAAGTATATACTATTTGTATAGGTATCTGTCACATGTATGTCTACATGGAAGATCTTACTGCTTGCCAACTGAACATGTCCTCTTTGCTATAAAGACCAAGCAGCCTGCATTATAAAATGGGAGGAATAGAGAAAGAGACACTGTGTGTGTGTGTGTTTATAATGTGTTGGGGTGGAACCCTAGCTATTTGCAAAGGAACCAGTTCTGAACTTTGGTTATTTATGTGCTTGAGGTTTATTTATAACCAGATAGTAATGTGCTTTTTGCTTTGGAGAATAGTCTATCTTTCTAGTGTTTCTAGCTGCCCTGGGCCATTAGCCCAAGGGCAGAAGGCACAATCAAAACTAATCAAGAGTATGAGCTGAGGCAGCACTAACAAATTTGCATTGCAAAACCTGCACTACCCAACCTGCAGACTAGCTTTTCCAACCCAGAATGCTTATCTGCCTACTTTTTGCAGTTAATAAAGATGTTTGACAACTCGTGTGGACTGTGCTTGAAACTATTCTTTGTAGGAGAGAGGGGGTAGTTCATCCTAATCTTAAGAAAATCTTTATGTAATGATCTTCTGTTCTGCTTTGACACTACATAAAGTAGGAACCAATAATAATATTGAGAGCGCTACAGTTTTTTCTTAAAATACAAAATGACAACATATTTGAAGCATGATCACAAGGCAAAAAAGTACTTACCTCACAGTTACTATTTATTTTTATGTATTCTTCTAATTTTAATGCTACCTTTCAGAATCAGGTTTCCCAGGGAATCTTACTATGAGTTTAGAGGGTGAATATCTCTGCATGAAGCAGCAGGGGCAAAGATGATACACCCTCCAGGTTTTGCTCACTTACTCTTGCCTCCCAGCAATAACACTTCATCCTTCCATGGGCAACTGAATGGTAAAATTAGTGAAGAAGACTATTATGATGGGAATATATGGACTCATAGAATGTATACATTGGAAAAGACCTATAGGTATCTAGTCCAACCCACAACATAGTGCAAAACTCCATTAACCCATCAAGCCTGTTTGAAAGCCTCCAGCAAATGGGAATTCTGTGCACAGATTAGTATTCAAAATGAATAATTCTTTTAATTTCAGCCCATTGGTCTTTGCCTTTCCTTAGTTTCAACAGAAAACACATTTGATCCCACATGCACATGATAACTTTTTAGATATTTGTAGACTGCTATCATACCTTTTGCTGGTTAAATATGTCCAGTTACTTTAGTCATTCCTTGTATTTCAAGGAAGTATAACAAGCACAGAGTAAAATGGATCTATTACTTCCCTGGGTAAGTTTCTACATTACACAGTCTGCTCATGTTCAGCTAATGGTCCACTAGGAGCCCTAAAGCACTCTCCAAGTCAGATCTCACCAATCCTAAACTTATGTACCTTATTTGATTTTTCTACCCAGATACAAGACTTCACATTTGTATCTGTTGATAATAAGCCCAATGGATTTGGCCAATGTTCAAATATTTTGAGGACATTTTGAATTGTATTTTTATTCTCTAAAGTACTGGGCAATCACTTCTTATTTAAAGCATCCATCTGCAAATTTGGTGAGCATCTTTTCCATTCCATCCTTTAGTTCAATTTAGAAAGAAAGTGAATGGCACTGGGATGAGGACTGACCCTTCTCTTTGATATTTTCCTCCAGATCAATGTAGAATCATTTAAGAATGCCTTCCAGTTGTGGTTGTTCAACCAGTTGCAAATCCAGTGAACTACAGAGCCATCCAACTCACATTTATCTATCCCATCCAAATAAGTAGGTATAAATGCAACCCAGCAAAATTAGGGAGGATAGGACGATGGGGAAAATTAAAAAACACATTTTTATAGATTTTTTTTAAAAAATATGAGATGCCAGAGACCATAACCTGCAAAACTTTTCATATCAAACTAGGCACTTTTAGGGAGGCATAAACAGGTGACAAAAGATAGGCAACAGTTTTCGACAACAAAGAGCTACCCCATATCATGGTCCAAATTGTAGCTACCACCAACTGCAATTCTGCATTTAGACATTACTGCTGTGTGTGCTTCAAAAATGATTTGGAAGAAATGCTTCTGAATATGTGGGAGCACATTAACTCTTCAAAGTAGCCTTTCTTTTTCAGTCTTGCACATTAGCCTTAAAGATATAGCTGATGTATGTATGTATGTATGTATCAATCAGATTTCATCACCACCCATCTCACTCAAAGAGCAACTCTGGGCAGTTTACCACAACAATAGTGCTTTGCTTGCACTCCTGCAAATTCCAAAGTATGTCTCCCAAATCATTTTCAAATTGTGCACTTTCTGTCATGGATTTTGCCACAGTAAGGAGCACACCACTGAGAAGAAGAACCATGTTCATTACAATGAGCATTGGGTACCTGCTTTATAAGAAAGAGAACAATGGAAAAGCAAAGATTTTTAGAGGAGTTGAGGGATACAAGGTGGGAATTCCTAGGGATCTGATTTGCTGGCCAGTTTGGGGAAGCTGGGCAGGTGCTTGTCAGTATACCTGGGATGAGTTCTATTGCCAAGCAAAACGGGTCTTTCAAGAGGGCAGCAGAGTTGGGGAAGTTTACTGTTAAGGAGATGGAACCTTGAGGTCATTGGCTGATGGAGGATGGGAGGTTGGAGTTTCTCATCTTGTTACTACGTTGCAAGTCCCTTGTAAGGGCTGCCCTTGGGCTCTGCTGTGAGCTGGTTAGGAGGCTTCTATTCTTTGGTGGGATTGAGGGGGGCTTTGTCTGGAGCAGAGAGGGTCAATTTGGGACTGATGGGATTAGGCAGAGAGATGAACTGGGTTTGACCCTGGTAATATCTAAAATATGGGGGGAGGGGTGCAGTCTTCATTTTGTTTATAGGTTTATTTTTTCCACTACACAACTCTTTTACAAGATTTCACAAATTGATCCCAAAACAGATTCCTGCATTGTAATCTTACACTTTCAGTGGATCTCTCTGGTTTTCTAAATGTTTCATTTAAACAACATTGTCAATGTCCAACTGAATTGAGAGTTAATATAAAGGTTACTTAAAATATGCCTTGTGTTCTAAAATTGAGATGTTTAACTAGAACTTAATCTACCTGATTTGTTTTTCCTCCACAATTGGACAGAGTCCAATGAACATGATAAAGAAATTATACAGATACAATTTTTTAAAATTGAGGAAAAGGTAGGAGAGAAAGATTGACGCTCCTGTTAACCCAGCACCACATACCCAATAGCTCCATGCAACAGCTGTGTAGGATGGTTGCACGAGATGCTGTTTACATTAAAGTGGTCTAACCTTTCTGTTCTTAAGGGCTATGTGGGACAGTGATACAGCTGTGTGCAGACAGTACATAGCTATGCTGCCACACATGTGCACACCACCTCAGATACTTCTGTCTCCCTTCATAGGTTCATATGCATACACAGAGAGAGAGACTTGTAAACCCATGTGTGGTCATCCCTTCAAGCACACAGTCATGTATGTCTTAAGCGTCTCCTCCTTGTGCTGAAATCACATCATACATCCCATCAGTGGCAACAGCTAAGCAGGATGAGGGAAGGAAGCACATGAGAAGAGGACAGAGAATGAGAATGTGTTTCTTCTCTGTCTCTCCTTTCCCATCACCTTCTTTCTAGTTTAAATTGTCTAGTTTAAATTTAATCTATTTAAATTTAATCTATTTAAATTTAAATATATTAAATTAAATTAAATTGTCAAATCAATAATTTGGTGGGCTGCTGGGAGTGTGATTTTATTTGGCAAAAAAGAGTACTTGGATGATCCTCACCATATTTGTCCCAGGAAAAGTTTAGGGTTAGCAGTAATGCTAACAGAAGGAAGCTAAATGTCCTGGTGGAATTAAGGACAGCAGTGGCAGCAGCTTGGACATCCAGAGCAGATGCCTCAAAGGCTCCCTGATAGCTGCTTGCTGCCTGTGTGTAGTAGCATCAATAGCAGTCCTGAGGCTCAAGAGAAATGTAGATGCCCTCCCAGTGACTGTTGTACAGGCATCTTGGGCGTCAGACTCTGCCATATTCTAAAAATGAAATACTTTTTCCACATATGATTCTCACAGAGACTCTTTAAGATGAAGAAAGGTGACAAGAGTTTTGGCAAGTGAACTATTTCCACCTTATAGCCAAAATATCCCAAAGCACATTCAGGCAGAATCTTCATCTTTCTTCCTGCCTTTCAGTTTCTAGGACAACAGAATTCAAATAGATATTAGACGGGCGGGGCAGGGGAGATACAGCCCTATT